AAGACGCAGAGTGCTTGTGTCTGGAAGTTTCACCACGCTGTCAAAATACTCGTTAGTTTTGGTATAATTGCTGCGAAGTGCAAACAAGATATATTCAAAGCGGATTGCTCTTTGAGGTGCTGCTGACAAGCTTTTTTCCAGGCGCACTGCTTCATTGTAATTTTAGGTCTAATTTGATTTCCATTGTTATGAACTGTGGGAGTCTATTGCTGCAGAAAATACCAGGTGCACAATTTCAGCTGTTTTTGTCGAACCTGGTAGTTAAAGGAAGCGGTGTCGCCCTACGCACTCTATTTTGCTGTGCCTATTTTGCGGTGCCACTTTGAACGCCCCCAGCGTGGATGCTTCTGTGACATGCACTTGAAAGAAAAGAACACACTGACAGCAGAAATAAATGTCCTCTAACAGGCCATAAGTATCTCCAACAATCCATGTCAATCCAAAGCCCCATCTCCTCGGCCCTGGAGGTCACAGCACTTCCCTCCTTTAAAAGCTGTCACCGCCACAGGGCTGTTAAAAAAAGGTTCTTATTGCAATCCTGGCTTATTTATTTTCCTCCATGACAACGGCTAATAAACAATCACGCAGCTCTTATTTGCCCATGGCCGCCTTGCAGAGGAGGGTGAAGGGAGCGTAAGGGAGGAGTTCTTGCTCTTCGCTGCCCAGCTGTGAAGCTCCGCGGCTCTTTATCACTGAGCTGCTGCATGCTATTAGGGCGGAAGCATAACAAGGGAATTAGGAAAAGTGGCCGAGCGGATCTTTTCCCTAAAGCCCCTTCTGTCCTCCCCTCTCGCTTCCTTCAAACAGGTGGCACTCTTTGTCGGGCACATACGAGTGGGGTTACTGGGATTCCACATGACAAAGACAGAGCCAACTATAGATTCTGTGGAGGTTAATACCCCCGCTCCCCCTTCCCCAGCTCCCCTTAGTCATCTCTGGAGTCCAGGCCTGGTCACGAAATGCCAGGAAGGGCAGGATGTCTATTGTAGAAGGTACACAGCGGAGAATGTTTGCCTTCCCAGCAGGCCAAGCAGCTCCACGGGGGCAGCTCAGCGGGGGGTTGGAGTGAAGGGGCAGAGGGACAGAGAAAGGAGAGAGCTACAATTAAAAAGAGGAAAAGAGTGCTTTTCCAAGCTTTGAGTTACAGACACCTGAAGGCAGGGGGGCTCTCGCAGACTTTTGAAGCGTGGTGAGGAGGGAGGCTTTCGCCGACTCTCCCCTCGGTCTCCCCCACAAAGAGCTGCATGAGGAGGCATTCCTCAAATATCTCCGCTGCCTAGTACCACCCTGCCATACATCGCATCCGAACGTCTCCCCCTCCCATCCACTGCACACATTGTCACGCTGGAATTTCTGTGAGGTCCAGAAAAATACCATCCAGACGGAGAGAAAAGCAAAGAAACGAGGGAGGGCTGAGAGAAAGCAGACAGTCTCTCTCTCTCTCGCCCTCCCTCCTGTTTTTAACCCCTCTCTTCTGCTCCTCCAAAACAAACAGTGCAGCCTTGACTGACTGGCTGACTGCAGGAGATTTCAGCATGCCGAAGAAAGAACACTTTTTTTTGGGCTGGTCAGCAAATCCGATGCTATCAATGATTCATAATGTTGTCAGGAGTACATCGTATCTATCGAAAGTTGCCTCTCCTCTTTGAGTCAGCAAGAGAGGAGGAGGTGGAGAGAACAGCCTGCAGCTCAGGATGAAAGATTCCTAGATCTTGTTTAGGTTCGAAACTAGAAACTTTATCACACTTCTGATCAGTAAATCTTGCTTTAACAATAAGAAACTAAAGTATGTCTTTTAAATTAGATAAATTGCCCTTCAGTCCGCCTCATGTGAAACCTGCCTGTCACTTGTATAGATTCAAATCTACTGAAACCTCCATTTTTCCTTCAGATGGCAGAGCCACTGCAGCCAAACGAGCCTGACAGCCCTTATCAGATTGCAGACAAAGGGAGAATGGGTGCATGGCAAGGGAGTGCAGAAGAAGCATATCTATTTACTTCAGTTTTTCACTTGAGCTTAGCTTGCTCATTCCACCGATTTTCAGAGCAAATTGACTTCAAATATTTGCCTTGATGCAGGCTGCGCCTTCGCCTCAAACTTCATTAGCTGTGAGAGGCAGTGAGGGCGGCCCCTCAAACTCCACTCTGTGAAAGTCTACAACGGTGCGTGAAAGGTAAACACGTTCTGCATTCAGAATCGCAAGGCTCACTTAGTGCCCTTATCTCTGTGATGAAGTGTTTTCCTCCTCCAGCTCTCAGGATACAGGCCTCTGCACTTCCCCAAACAAACCTGTCAAGGGTAGCGCACACGTGCAACAACACCACCGCAGCCAGACTCCACTCAGTAAAGACTGTTTTTCTTTTTACGAGCACCACTTTGAGTGCTTCTTGTTTGGTTTGCTGATAAGAGCCATGTTGGAGAACATGTGGTGCATGTGTGTTCCATTTGCCCTCTAATTAGATTGCAAGGCAGTGCACTGAAGCATGCATTGTAACCTCCACCGCCTCCACCTCCACCCACTCTGCCAGTCCATCAGATAAGGAAGCCATTCTGGCTCTCATCAGTTTCCATTATGTAAGAGCTGATTTGGTGAGTGGAGCTGCGACAGAGAGTCTGATGGGTCCGACACAAATCACACCCAACTTCTGTCTGCGGATATATAAATGACTATTCCTTTACTTATGATTGAATTACCTACGACATGCCTTGTCAGCAATTACCACAATAATCCACGCTCATGTTACGCAGAACCATAATTTGCAATTAAGAATGAAAGGTAAAATAGATTTCACTCCGTGCCTTGTCTTTTCTGTCTAAAGCCAACGTGAAGCTGCACAAGTCGGAGCATATCGTGAAGTGGAACTAAAGTCCCATGAAAACCACTCCATTAACAACATTAAAAATGAAACGGTACACCGAGTTAAAAATAGCAAAACGCTGTAGGTCAGGACGACCCCGTTTTCCTGCGCAATCTGTGTGGCCCACATGAACGGGAGACTGACTTAAGTTTCACAGCCGCCTGTCTGGGTCGTTTGTTAACGTATCCTCGAGACAAGCGGTTTATAACCTTCTGACCACACTATTGGTAGGTTGCTCCACATGTAATGAATACGCACGTAGGACGCAGGCGGAGGAAAACAGCAAGCAAGCAAGCAGGAGGGAGAGACACGTCCGCTGCAGAAACTTCATCTGCTAACAAATTTATGAACAGCCAATTAACTGGCGAACCGCAATCTGCAAGCTCAGTGTGGCTGCTAAATGAAAGAGCAGCGCTAATTTTTAAATGATACATTGATGGATCAGTAAACTCAAAGACCGCCCCCTTTTCAAATTAAAAAAACTGCCTTCCTTGAGCCTGCAGGGGACTAAATTCTTCTTGCTGCATGTGTTTAGACACAGGAAACTCATTCCTGACTAATTTGATTAACACAAGCATTGTTACCGCCGACCCCCCCTCCTCTTCTTCCTCCTCCTGTCCCTTCCTCGCTCTCTGTTTCCAACTTGAACACTTTAATAGTCCCTCTGGTGCTGAAATCAGACCCAGAAGAAGTGTCAAGGAGCATCCAGCCTCTAAAAGACAGCAGCATCCAGCCTGCCATAAATCTCTGGCAGCAGTGAGGATGGGTTAAAGTGGGATTTAAATCCGGGATTAAAAAAAAAAGACACAAACCCTGCAAGCGTATACGGGGGCCATTCAAGGAGCACAAAAGAAGCGGAGGGTCCAGGTTTTGGGTGGAGCGGGGATACAGTAACAGGATCCAGCAAAGCCCTGTACTCTCCCGAGCCCTGCAGCGTAAACAAACAGCTGAGACAGAGCAGGGCAGAGGCACCGACACACGCACACAAACCACACACACACACACACACACACACACTCACACACACACACAGAAAGAAAGACAGGCAATCAGAGCGAGGCAGTCTGCCCAGGCAAAGGCTCACCTCAGGGCACTCACACTGACACGGGCTCATCACATTACTGTCTGTCTCTGGTTTCATCGGCTTAAACTATCTATCCGACAACAGGTTAGCCGCTTAGCCTTTCGCTGGATGCAGCAGCTCGTGGCTTACAAGTCAAATAAGCATCAGTAACTAAGTGTCACCGAGAAATCCACCTTAAAAGGGTGATTTCACTGAGCTTCTGGAGGAAATCTAAGTGAAAAAAAACACACCATGTGAGTCACATCATTTCACTCTGTTCCAACTCTGACGTTAATAAAGCCTAATTAAATAAGCTGAGACTTGTTTCTTGGAATTTCTCGCTTGTTTTCAGAGTAATTGCATTTTAAGAGATAATATGAAAGTGTACGGTTGATTAAAACAGACATTGTTTTCCTGCAGTATAGGACAGAGCCGCCTTTTTAACGGCCTCTTGTGAGGTTTTGGCCTTATGGTACTCCCCCCCTTCTGCAAAAAAAACAGCAGCTCAAATCAATATTATACCCCGGTGACTTCATTCCACAAAGACGAAAATCAAGGACATTCCAAAACCAAATGGCAGGGGTGAGACATTCCTGCTGCCCTATGTATTCACAGAGCGGGATTACATTAACACAGCTCCGGAGAGCCTGCTGACACTAGATGGCGCAGTTTCATGTGCAATAGGCATGAGGGAGAGGGAGGAATGAGTGTCACACACATACACACACACACACCGGAGCGCAACAATAGTCACCCTTATGAATGGGGCACACGTGTATATGCACTTTAAGATGAAAATAAATGTGAATTCGGAGGAGTTTGTGTGAACGGCTTCAACACAGCATCTCCAGTCAAGTGTGGGGGGGTCAAACCTTGAGAAGCTTCCCATCACTAATAGAATAAAGATATGTAGATTTGTATTAGAGTTTTCACAATCTCCCTCTACTAACTTTAGATCAAACCCCCACAGACAAAACCAGATTGAATGAATGACTCTTTTTTTGTGTTGTTTTTTTTGGGGGGGCCAAAAGCACATCTGGTCTTGATAGAGGAGGTCGCCAACTCATGCTGTACTTACTTGCACTCGCGGTCCTCCAGATCAAAATGCGGATTGAAGTTGATGAGGATCCGCTGGTGAGGACCCGGCGCCGAGATCACCCACACGCATCTCTGAGAAGGGGGGTAAGACATGGGGTATCCGGGCGAAGTGAGGTAGTTGGCGGTTGAGATTCTGATGTTGCCTCCACATTTATCTGCAGAGGGGAGTGACAAGAGTTCTTGAGGGACAGAAACAAAGAAAACTTGACTGATGATCTTATCCACTGACAGCTTACAGAGAGAGAGACAACAGTTGGACTGAATGAGGTAATCTTTGCTCAGGGACACTTCAGACTGATGGGTTTACACAACACTCACACTTTGAATTAGTCATTTAATTCCTACAGGTGACACAGAGGGAAATATTAGATACTGTTAATCAGAATTAAAGCTCAACTTTTTCTACTGTGGAGGGAGCTCCTTTAAGACATCCCTACCCATGAATCTACACAGTAAAGAGTTTTCCAATTGTTCTTTCACAGATTTTTATAAACTGAAACAAAGCTGCAGTTTGAGGCTTTGTCGACAACAGAGCAGAGTGAAAACAGAACATTAGAACAGCCACACAAAATTACTTATAATGAGCTCATAAATTGCACTTAGACAGTTGTTAATTTCATGCTGTGACATGCACGAGCTGAAGTCATGCAGACAGAAGATGAAGCTGCTTCTGACTCACATTAACACAAGGAAAGGAACAGCTTTTTATGTAGTGATGCATGCAGCACCAAAGTCTGAGAGAAGGGCTGAAGCTTTAATAAAGTTTAGTTCTGCCAAAGCCTGAAGTGACTTTTATCTGCACTGTGTTCCTTTAAAACTCGGCATTAAATACAATTTAAAGGAATATTCATCTATTTTTAAGAGGTTGACTGCTCCGACGCATATTTATTTTCATTTTCACTTTTTAAAAATTATTATAAAAGCATGCGCTATCGAGTAATTTAACTCTTTTAAATCTATTAAATCGAAATAAATAAACGCATAAACGGAAGCGATGCAGTAAGAATAGAACATGGGAAGTTGTTTAAGTCGAGTTTTTGGAGTGACTTTTTGAACTTTATCACAAAGAGACGCTACTAATCCCCATACTAAACTTCTGTCCTCGCGCAAACAGTGCGTAATTCATTTAATAAACTGGTTTATAGTTGGTTACAAATCCCACAATAAAGTGTAGTTTTATGATTACAATAAATATTTTATAAACGTTTAATTGTATTGTGGGGATGATGTCTTAGGAGTAGTAAGGTAAAGAAAAAAACACGCTGTGCAGCAGGAATAATAATCATAAATACAAGTCTAACAATAAAACAGCAGAACACTGTTGAAGAGGGCTACAATAAGGTATTCTAAAGTCACTGTGGAGCAACACTAAGTCCTTGTAGGAATAATATTAGAGGGGTTTTCTTAAGGCGTTGGCGGAATGGGCAGGTGAGCGCCTTGCGAGTTTACCCAAAGATCAGCGCAGATCAGAGGGGACTAATCTTTTGAAAAAATATTGGGATTAGTAGCTTTGCAGAGCACATAAAAGCTTTATTTATATAGATATCAGATGTCACACTTACCGTTTTTGAAAGCCTTGACCACCAAGAGGATTCCCATGAACAGGATAAAGACTAATCCACAATGCATCCTTGTTTTATCGACAAAAAATTAAAATTACGCATACAAAAAAGAAAAACTCCTCCAAAAAATTAAACTCCTCCAAAAGCTTGTTTTTTTTTTCTTGGCAAGTATTCTTCTTCCCGCTTCTGAACTCAACAAATAAAAGCAGAAGTGTCTCTTTTGACGAAGTTGGAAGTGATCTGAGTGCGGGCTCAGGTCGCTGGCATCCTGTCATTCAGCTCCTGTTTCCTCTCGCCTGTGCCGGCTGCTCTCCTCTCTCCAGCGCCGACCGTGCCATATCCTCTCCAAAGAAGCCAAAGCGCAAAGATATGTGAAGAAACTACCCACTCCGCTCCGACTTTGCGTCCTTTTACTCCTTCAGACGATGCCCGGGAAGGATGTAATCCTTGGCTGTGGAGTGCAAAAAGAAATAGACGGAGATGTGAGCAGGTTATGGATGCGTGCCGCGGCCGTGCGCTCTGGACATTCCCCAGTCTGTCAAAAAAGCGCGGATACAAATAAGACGCTGAAGACACGGGTACACCACCCCTTCCCCAAATTGTGACCGCTTTGCTTCTATAGGCTCAGAGTAGGGACTCGGAGAGGTTGATGATTGGCTTGATTACAAATAGCCAACCTATGTCTGAAAAGCTCCGCGTCTTTATATGTAAGCGGAGCAGCACACTGAGTCATGGAGCACCAACAGTCCGTTAAGTGACACGACTCTCTCTCTTTCTTCCTCCCTCTCTCTTTTACTCACTCACCCTCTCCTCCCCTCCCTCCCCCTTTCTTCTTTTACATAAAGGAGCTTGACATTATTGGGAGATGTAGTGACACAACAGGACTCCCCGCAGGAACATTTTAAAAAAACACTCCCTGAGATGTTGCCATTTATAAATTACTCTACTTGGCGAAACCAGGCAACTATGAAACATCCTCTTAACTATTTTAAGTCTGGATCTTGAGGATTATTGTTGGGTATTTCCTCGGGTGTCCCTCTTTCACTTCTATCTGATCACTTTATGTGACATCTACACAACAAAACTGACCCTTTTTGTCTTCCAATCCTTTAAAAAAACACTCATCCTCCGGCTCGAACAGGAGCACATCTGTAGTGTTGTTTACAGGCCCAGTTTTTTTTCTTTTGCTCCGGAGCTAAATGGCAGAAAGTAATTTTTCCTCCTTAGTTCTGGTGGATGTCTTTTATGCACCATAAGCTGCCCAGATGCGCCGATTGTTGAAACCTGCCCCACAACAGTGACACCATTAAACTGGCACGCTGAAATTTAGAGGAAATCAATTAAAGCGTAAATTATAGTAGCCTCGAGTAGTTTACTCAAGGCTGCCCTTAGTGGGTCACACCGCGTAAAAAGGAACGCAGCCGGCTGGTTCTCAGCAAACCTCAAACAGAAAACACAAAGCATTCTGCTGTAAACTCCTGCTTCAACACAAAACAATGCAATACGTGATTACAAGGGGAAAAATTGTAATAATCTGTATGTTGTGCTCTTTTGGTTTTAGAACAAAAAAATAAGAAGGGATGGTAAAACAATGGGATCACATGAGCCAAAATTGTAATGTTGTGCGTAAAATTACTGAAATCATGAAGAAAATGTGATTAGTATTATTTCAGAAAACTCAAATTAAATATTTCTTTTAACCCTTGGAACAAGTCAAATAAAAAACAGCTGCATTCACCTGCGTCTTGAGGACTCGCAAACCCGCAGGCATCCAGCCCTGCTCTCTCCACTTTCAACATGCGTGGAGCAGAGAGTACGATCCGATAGGCTTCCTCCGATTCTGTTAAAACGACACCAGAGCTCCACAAAAGCAAGTCAACTTATCAGCCAGTACCCCCCAAATCCCCTCCTTTTATACGCAGAGGAAGAACCACAGAGCAGTCCAGTCTTGTTCGCGCAAAGACGCACAGCCGATGCCCGGAGACACACTCTCCTCTCCGCGTACAGGCGAGCCTCCTCACCGCTGATCTCTCCGGTTCTCTCTGCGCGTTGGGCTCCCACTCAGCGCTGTCACAACTGAAATCCGACCAACGTGAGGGAGAACCGGTAGTCCCAAAATGTCTCAAGGAGGGAAAGATCACTGAGGCAAATAAAAGTCCTTTTTGATTTAATACAAGTTGCTTTCTCCGTCCGTCTCTCCGTGCGCCACCGCTCTCGGCTCCTCCACTGATGCAAATGCGGAGGGTTTGAGTCCCTGCCAGCTCCACACGCCCCTTTACGAGGGATGAGTACGCGGGTGCGCGCGATTGTTTTCGTGCGTGTGTCGATGTGTGCGTCTCTGCAATCGATATGCAGATTTCAACCCAGCTGCCTCTCTCCCTCCACCAGCCTGTAGCCCTTATTGGACGCATCACAAAGTCACATTAGACAGAAAAATGCGCTAAGCCGATGGCTTCTCTGCGCATGTGAGTCATGTTGAATTACATTTATTTCTTTATTTTGTATCACTCACAGAAAATCTTTTCTAGCTCCATATTCCCTCATGATAAACAACAAGAAATACTTTTATAAGGATATTACACAAACATCTGTGACTCCCCAGGAGCGCTGTTGAATCATTAAAGTGACATCACAGGAGATGCAAAAGACAGTGACGTGCATTAAGGCCTCTACAGTGCAACGTACACATTCTAAATCCCCACAGTGGCAACACATTAATATTATAGATGCTATATGGTCTTATGTAGTTTTATGGGAACATATAGAGGCTCAAGGGACTCAGTGCAGTGTTGTTCCTGCATGTGAACAAAGAAGTTGTTCTGTGCTGGTGTGTGAACAGTCTGTCTGTCTGTCTGTCACCCACTTCAGCAGGGAAAGAGTTTGGTGGTTTAAAAAACAGGACAAACCTCATTTCTAGCTCTGATTTGGACAGCAGTCCCGAAAGTTTTAATTATGAATCATCTTCTTTTGTTTGCGGACATTTCTTCATAGAATTCTGCTGCAAAGTGCATCAACACTGGAGCAGCTCAGTTCAAAACATTCATTCATACTTCATCTGGTTGTGAAACTCTCTAAGAAGGAGAAGTGAAACTAAAACCGGATCCAGCCTCACACAGCTCAAACCTTCCTGACCCTACTTCTCCCAGCGCTCGGACTGGGCCTTAAGGGTTAAACCTGCTGCTTGAGTTCTCTGCTGTTTTAGCTCAATTGACTGCAATAAGCGGAGGCTTCCGGCCGCAGGTCTCTGTGGCTATAGGAGCCTTCTGCCCTGTAGGGGGCATCAGAGCGGGTTGGCAGCTCTGGGAGCCACCCATTGCTCTTTCAGGCTCACCTTACTGTACTGCTGTGGAGACTGCACAGCTGGCTTCATGAACAAATGCACTGATTCAAGGTTTCTGCAGACTCAATCACTGCAGTCAGCGTGCATCTTATTCAGACTTTGCTGCCGCTGCATTAAGGCTGCTCGCTCATCCTTCTTTGCTGTAGTAGTGAAACAATAATCCTGATGTACTTCCTATTATAATCTGCTTGTTCTTGGAAAAAAAAAGCAAATCACTGTGTTGCCCTATGGGAGACACAAGCAGCACTTAGTTCAGGAGGCTGACATGCTTTATGCACACACTATTGAGATGTCCCCTGTTTGAAAAGTTTTTGTGCCACAATAGAGAAAGATAAGCTCGCAATCCTGCACATTATTATTTTTCATTCCTAGACAGAGACGGCGACAGAGGATCGAGTGGCTTTATTCCCATCCCAGCCTCAGTAATTCTCTGTCTTGCTGATAACACAAATGTTAAAATGGTGCCGGGCATCTCTATCAAAGGCTGCACTAACTAGCCTTTCGTGTCTTCAGGATAACACAGGAACAATGGCTTAGAGTCATTTCACAAGGGTGCCTGCCAGTGCCGTATCTAAAATGAGGGGGGGATTGTAGAGGAACAATAAAAGAACCATTTAAAGGATTTGCTTCTTCATATATATCCACAGTAATCTTTAGTACAGCCCTGATGAATAATTAGCTCCGGTACAAAAGCAGACATTTTATAGTTCCTGTGAGCAGCGGACTTGATTTCATTAGCCTGCCCTTTATTCACCAAAGTGAGTGAGTCAGAGTGAAATGTACAGGCTCAAAGCATCTGGCACAAAGTCAGAGAGAGCATTTCACCTCAGTTTCTGATTGAAAAGTCTATCTTTGGAGTCACCTGCTAAGAACTGGGACATGATTTAACACTCTGTGCTATTTTTGGGTGACAGATCATAGACAGGCAACAAATTAAAGAAAAGAAATTAATAAGTGATGCTCCCATATGGGGAACAAGGACACGCTGGATGGTAAGTGAATAATATGGCCTGAGTGGCAAGACGCTGAACCTGTTCAGCACCCATGGGAGACTGTGCACCTGATTCCGACCTCATCAGCCTATTAAATGGGCGTCATAATTGCACATCATTACCATACATGGCGGAGTAGGATCCTCCTCTACCTTCAAGTAGGCCATTCTGTTCATCCATAAACATAACGTTACCTCGATATCACAGGCAGTCATCGTTAAAACAATAAGTGTGGGATTATCTTTCAGAAAAATGGTGTACAGTTGAAAAGACTGGCAAGAAATATCTATATTTAAGGTATAGCAACTGAGAACTAGGGACACAGAAACATCCTGATTTCAGGTGATAAATCATGTTTACAGGTCTGTATGTAACTACTGGTCTCCTGCATGAAAGTGAGATCTGCTACCCCCAATGCACCGCTCTGACCTCCACACGCTTACGTTCCACCTCACCTCATAAAGGGCACTTCTCTTCATGTATTGACACTGAACATTGGCACTGCGCATGAACTATGAGAAGTAGAATCTTCCAATATGATTCTCAGGGCTACAAGGCTGCACTTTATCTTAGTTTTGTCACTCACCTGTATGTAGACACAGTGAATAAAAGTTTGGAGACTCCAGGATGGGCATCAAGGGGATTTAAGTTATTTTCATCTACAAGCTGTGATCTTTAAGTCAAATCCGGATGGACATTCTGGCATCTCGGAAACACTCCTCCCCTAAAGGAGTTTACAAACCTGTGTTGCTTAGTCTGATTGATTTGGACACTGGTTTGGTTTCCCCCCTGGTATAATTTGCTTTGGCAGGTCTGAACACAGCAATCATACTCGTTTGTGGTGGGAACTGATCCAACCTCAA